AAGTTCTTCAAAATAATTGGTTAATTGGTTTGAGTTTATGCTGAAATCCATAATATAGATAATCCATACACATAGTAATGGAGTTACTTGAAATATATAGATCAAAATAATTGGTTAATTGGTGAAGGAGAAACTGAAGATCAAGAAGCTGAGGATTTGTTTTGAAATGGATTTGCTTGTATTCTTCCTCTACACCCTCTAATGGCGATTTGCGGTTTGTGTGTGGTGGTGCCGACATTAAGGATGGTACAAATGGATGACCGGATTGGTTGTGTCGACCATGAGGCTGTGGTGGTGTTGTCGTGGTCCGATGGAGGGTAGATGTCTAGAATTGGTCGAAAATGAGTAGTGGAAGGGGGTTGGAAGGAGTGATGGTGCTGACGATATGACGACTATTTTGATGACGGTGATTGGTGGAGACGATTGGTGATTTTGAGGGTAGTTAGATAGGAGTGCGACAGCGGTTGGAGGTTTTGGGTTTGGGAAGATGATAAACTATTATTTATTTATTTTTTTGGATTTCTTGGGTTTTTTTATTTTAATTCTTTTTTGAAAAGTTTGAAATTACCCTTTACCCTTTAAAGATTAGTCAAAAGAGGTCAAATAATGGTCAACTAACAGTCAAATTGATAGTTTATTCATTTGAGCTTCAGGTGCGAATTTCTAAAAGTCTTGGTACCATAGATGGTACAAATAAAAGATTTGGGTTAAGTTCAAAATAAAATGAAAGGTTTTGGCATCATGATTGCAATTCTCCGTATATTTATTAGTTTCTTGCTTACTTAGAGTGATGGTAAATATTGGTATGATTAAGCTTGAGCATTTTAACCGGAATTGAATCTTTCTAATCGAAATCAGAGGTTTCGGTCCGATTCCAAAAAAAAAAAAATTAGGAACTAGAACCAAGAACTGATAACCGATTGAGTCAAATTCGATTCTTGAACCAGAATTGTTGGTACCCATTGGAACCAATTTTTATATAATTTACCTTGTTTCATTTCAATTTTTGGTTCCTGAATTAGAACAGTGGGTGCACTGTTTTCTATTGATGGGATTGCTTCTAAAAAATAGTTGGGATGGAATTGCTACTCTAAACAAAGTTTGGGGATTAAATTTAGAATTTACCCTTAATAAACCCCTCTCTTGCGCAGGCACCATAGGTAGAGAGAGATGCAGAAGAGAGAGCAAAGCAAGCAAGGCGGAGCATCCGGCGGCTCCGCCACTCCGGCCCCCAAGAGAGGCCGCCCATTCGGCAGCGGAAGCAACAGCGCTTTGGCAGCGGCGGCGGCAACGTCGGGTGATTCTGCCGCCCCTTCCACTCTCCTCGGCCCCTCGCTTCAAGTTCACTCTGCTTTCGCTGGTAAGTGTCATCTGTAGCCCTAGTTTCTCTCTCTCTTTCTCTTTTCCACGCGCGAACACATGAGCGTGCACCGATATGACAGCATCACAACTGCAATTTATTGTATCCAGGTCTGGTGAAATATTTAGGCGAATGATAAAAGCCTTGAATT